ATTCAGTCCTTTTGAAATTGATGAGAATTAATACTAACTCCAATTGTAATTGAACGTAACAAATTCTATTTCTTAAGAAATGCCACCATCGAAAGATGTCTTTTAAATCTGACTTACAATTAATGTCTCTGAAATCTTACCTTCAGTGTCTTCCTATATTTCATTAGGAGATATTTCAGTTACACCCAGCAATCCTCTTTTGCAGGTGATGATTTTCCCCGAAGGTACTTGTACAAATCGATCGTGCCTCATTACTTTCAAGTCGGGTGCATTTTATCCTGGTGTCCCTGTTCAGCCTGTCTGCATCAGATACCCTAACAAATTGGACACCGTAACGTGGACGTGGGAAGGTCCTGGGGCGTAAGCGTTTCACTTTCAATGTCTCTTCTTTTAATTGAAACTTCCAAAATCGTATATCTTCTCCGTGTCAAGATGTTAAGTTATCAGAAAATGACTTACTGATTTCAGATTGAAGTTGCTGTGGCTCACGTTAACGCAACTGAACAGCAGCTGCGAAATAGAGTTCCTCCCTGTTTACAAGCCAAGCGAAGCGGAGAAAACAGATCCCAAGCTTTACGCAAGTAACGTGCGACGACTTATGGCGGAGTGAGTACACTTTACTGGAGTAACAGATACACGGGTGCTTCTCTCTTTCAGAGAACATATTTAATTTCGTTCAACAAAATACACAAGAGTGAAACATATCTAATAAAAAGATTTAAAAAAAATTTTTTCTATGTTTTTTTTTTAAATATGCAACGTTCATAAAATGAAATTCTATTTGTTTCTCAGGGCATTACAAATTCCTGTGTCGGATTACACGTACGACGATTGTCGAATTATTAGCAAGGCTCATCAGTTAAATATACCGCGTGCATCCACCATAGTGGAAGCACATAAACTTCGTAACAAACTCGGGTATGTTGTTGCAGTAATAACAATTACGATAGTAACTGTTACACTATATGCAACTTGATTTTCACTAGTTTGGTATCAGCCAAGACGGAAGAAGAGCTAGTTCAGAAGAAAACAGAGAGATTTAGCGAAGAAATTAATTTGCACGAATTTGCGCAAATCCTTAGAATAGATGAAAAAGAACCAACTACTCAACAACTCTTTCGAATACACGATAGGGTCTGTATCATTCGTTATATCCTTTTGTAATTAAATTTTATACATCTCGTTCTATGTGATATCATAGACACACGCATACACACACACACACACAGAGTTCATTCATTGTATAATTCGAACATATTTTTGTTATGCTTTCTGTTATGTTACTTATCATTCCTATAATTATTCCAGCAAGGAAATGGTAAAATAGATTTCGAAGAATATATATTCACGGTGTTAGCTACAGCGAATGCAAACTCGGAGCTGAGTAAAATTGAAACATCGTTCGAAGTAAATATTAATCCTTTAGATTTAGTTAATAACGATACTCTACAATTACATGGTTAAATTATTTAAAATTATTTACCTGCTACGCGTGTTATTTCATAATTTTATATTGTAATTAACAGGTATGTGGGACGAAGTCGTTATTTTGTATCAATAAAATGGAATTAAGAAAGGCTTTAAAACTCTCGTTAAATATGCCAGTGGAGGAGTCTGATAAAATTTTCGAGAATGCAAAGATCGACTTTCCTGATACGGTAGTAAACTTTGGTAAGTTTTAGTTTAAACGAAATTACCATGTTGAAAGAAATAGTTGCCTTGGATTCTACGACAATAATTACTTTGCTCTGACCTAAACTTCCGTTATGTTTGGATAGAATTCGTATTAGCAGCATTGGCAGCAAGGGCGGAATACTCCCATATATTTGCTGGTAACCCCGAGGCGAGGAAAAAAACTATTTGAGAATATTTCATCAACTCGTTCCATGCTCATCGAAGATACAGAACGCATCGTGTCTGTGGCAGGCCGCTTCTCAATCAAACATGCGCCAGTCCTGTATAAATTCTTGCTGATATCACTACCCTCTCAACGAATAGATAGCCATTTTTATTTAATATTGTTAATCGTTGACGAAGCAAGAAATGTCATCTTCATGAGAGACAAAAAACAGCGAGGTACGCGGAACGAGAAGATTGTATAGCAATTATTAGATTGTCGTGTTAAAAACGAGTCTGACGTTTGCATGGCGCCAGACTTTTTACTCTTTTGTTAAATAGGAGAACTTTTCACGCAAGGAACGAAGTCAATTTTCGAAAAGGAACGTCGAAGTCCGAAAGTCCGAAAAAAAAAAAAAAAAGAAAAAAAAAATGGAAACAAGGAAGACTTATTTATTATTTAACTCACGTTTCAATGACGTTTTATGTTTATTTTACCAAGGTTTAATTTATGAAAATTCAAATTTTTATATCATATTTTTTCAATAATAAGATTTCATAATGCAAACGTACACGTAGTTTGTAGAAATGCGAGAGAGCGAGAGAGAGAGAGAGAGAAAGAGAGAGAGAAGCAAGGATTGACATTTCTTTTAATTTATTGTGCGATTCATACACATACGATAGTTGTGATATAGATTTTCTGTTTCGCTCGAATAACAAGGCATAATAAAGAGAACTACTATGTATTTTCATTCACGGATATACACTTGTTGTTACTCGCATAGAGCTTATTGCAAAATTTTCCTCCCTTTCGAACTGTCACGTTGAAATTCGAAGTCATGTAAATAGTATTATTAACCGAGGGTTTCTTAGACGTAAGTGTACGCAGGTTTCCCGTGTAAAAATTACGAAATCACGGCGGACAAATTGTCCATGCAAAGTAAAATTAGTTTTAGAATTATTCTCTAGATTGCTCAGGGTATCGATTAATTCGAGGGCTATTGAATGTTTCGCGCGTTTTATCGTAATAAAGCGTACTATGACCAACAGATGGTGAGTCACCGGATCATACAAACATAACCACACAGTTTCTAATATGTCTAAGAAAACCGAATATGTTTAGGACAATGCATTTAGAATAAATATATTATAAAATTTATTCTTTGCACAGTAATAATACATGCTACAGTATTTAATATTTAATAAAACGTAAATACATATGCATGTATACGCGTGTATATATGTATGTAAAATAACGATAATACATTGATCATGAGATACGAAGTAAATTATTGATCATTGTATATACACACATATATACATATATACGTATACATGGACTATATACATGTAATGTGTATCAATATATATGTATATACGGGAAATCTAATTGTATATATATAGATACAATAAAATATTCTTACAAGATATGATCTATTTTTAATAAATTTGATTAATTTTTTCTTTCATTCATTTGCAGCAGAGAAACTCTATCATCCAATCTATATTTATATAATCAGTTTAAGTACAAATATACAATTTTAATTGTAATAGATCCTATGGTATCGCACCAAATTCTTAAAAATAAAGACTATTTTGTTTCATAATATCATGTAGTATCAATACAAAATGAAATCATCTTATCAGACATTCAACGTTTAATAATCACAACCAATTTCTCGAACAGTTAATTTATCTATAATTATCTTTCTATAATTTAAAATATAGCAAATATTCTTAAAACTTTACTTTTAAATTCGTAGTCGTGTTATGGCAGGATATATTTGAAATTTTTTTTTAATAAGAGCACGAGAACATTATACCATACATAAATTAGTAAATCTACATTACTAAGTGGTGAGATTCGTTTTAATAAATATATTATGACTTCACAAAATATAGAACAACAAATTATAATAACATTTCACTTACTATTTTTAAAAAAGTAGCTATATAAAACGTTGTCATTATCTTAGCACTTAATGTTATAATTAATTGTGCAGTTAAAAATTAAAATTAATATACTATTGACTTTTCTTCTATATTACTTAAAGATTAATCTCCAAAGCAATTAAATTTCGCAATTCATGTGATTTAAAATTACACTTTTAAAAGGCACACACAGCGATATTCAATAATAGTATTTGTCTTCAAACTTACATTCCGATTGCAACGAGTAATATTTACATACTATTATATTTTGATTAGTGTAAATTTTGTGCACTACTTGTACCGTTAATCGTGTATAATACATATAACATTAATTAAGTACAACAGACGTTATAAACAAATAAAATTTGAACGTAACGGAAAGAAAATATAAAATTTGAAAAAATAATATTTACCTATAAACATGAATAACAAAAAATATTTTACTTCTTTCGAAATATACTAGACATACTTGGTGAACTAGTCTTTTGTTGAAATATTTTGCTCACTCTTTGTCTCATATCTTCTACCCCTTGTCCCACGTTTACTGTAGCCATTGACAATGAAAGGCCAGAACTCATTGATAATGATCTGAATAGACAATAAATAATCGATTGAAAAATTATTCCCAAAATAGATAGATTATGCATTTACCTCTCCATTGGTTTTGAAAGATCTTGCCGCGATTCAGCTTCTCGCAGAAGTGATCGAAGAGCTTCTTTCTGTTGAGGTAAATGTTGATTAACTAACTGTTCAAGATGTTTCAATCCCGGTAGTAACACACTAGAAACACATTGATTGCTCAATGGACAATAAACTAAAACAGAATATGCTTCGACCAAAGCACTGATGAGGTCGATTTTACGGCCTTGTTGTAACGCCGATGAAGTTATTCCCATTAATTGCGTAGCTATGACTGCATAAAGTTAAAGACTTAATTTCGTTAATGTTAAGTATTGAAAATATAAAATTTTATGGAGACTTACCGTCTTCTATATAATTCTGAGGGCAATTAGGAGCAATAAATGCTAATGTTGAGACCAAAGGAAGTGCTAAAGTAGGCGGAACACCTTGAGGTTCTTTAGCAATGGTTTCTAAAGTCAAACGTGCTTTATCACGCATCTCTCTTACTTTACATTCCGTTATTAAACGACCGAGAGAAGGAATTGCAGCAGACCGAACAGTTCTAAAAGTATGTTAATTGTGCTAAATCTCCATACTGTTTGAAAATAGAATAACTTAGAATAGAATTGCTTAATAGAATTCGCAAATCTTATAAATGTAAATAATGTTACTAATAAACAAAATGTCTTACATATCAGGATCACTAACGAGTGTTACAACTGCAGGAACTACCTTAGCACTTGCTAACCGGTCACAAACGTGGGCTATTACGCAACCAAACAATGTTGCAGTTGCATGTCTTACAATGGGTCTTTGGTGTACTACCCCTATAAAAAAGGGGGAAGGATTACTAAATTTTTAAAATCCTTTCCTATTTCTTTTTCTATTTTCCTAAACAAGATTCTATTAAAACTATTTGATAAAACTAACCATCCCACAAACCACTAAGGACATATTCTTGCATATGTTCTTGAGTACATAACATAATCATTGCAATCTGTAAACTAGTAATACTGGTGCCACTCATGGATAAAGCAACAAGGAACTGTTTTAAAGACTTAGAAACATCTATACCATTTAAAGTGGACAATATAATTAAATATGTCGGGATCAACGTCAAACTCATATTTTTTTTATCTGTTGCAAAAGTCGTTAATTGTTGCTCAAGTTCAGTTACTTCGGATGCAATTATCGGTTGAATCTAAAAAGTAGAACGTTGTTAATTATATTCGTGATATAATGTAACAATTAAATTTCATTAAAATATCAAATTTACCCGAGTTTGCGTGACATATCGCCCAAAACCCAAGCACAGAGAATGAATGTATGTTAGAAGGGCATTTAAAATAGTTTCCTGTGTAATTTCGATAGATTTTACCATTTCCAAAATGTCCAACACTCTGGAAATATTGATTGTAAGTATGTGAAAGTATCAATCGAAGACTTGAAGAGAAAAGAGAAAGAAAAGAAATGAAACAAGTACAATTTGTTTGTAAACCATTCTAATTCTGGCCATGAATCATTCTCCCATGTATTTGCAAAAAATGTATTTAGAAGAGATCCTATATCTACATCGCCATTATAAAATAGTTTTGGATTAACGATATTGGAATGACACAAATTCAGGAACACATCAGCTGTATAATAAAGCATATATGTAAAATTTAAAATGTCACAATTATTTAAATATTTTCTGTCAAATTCGCAAATACATGCAAATCTACAACATACTCACACAAATCAGATGACACTCCATGCTCAATATAAGTTCTAACCACATCAGTATCTGCTACGCAGATAATCATATGTGGAAGTAAATACTGTAATACAGCGATTGATGATACTATTTTCCCTTCGTCTACGTGATCTTTGTTAGGCGAATGTTGAGTATATCCAGATTTTAAATGACTTTTAACTTTAGATATTATACGTGGTAATAAGTGTGTTTGTAACCTTTTAAGAGAAAGTGCCCACTGAGCTAAAATTGGTAAAAGTAAAGAAGATGCAACTTCAACAACGCTAGGTGATGTATCATGAAGTGCCGTTAATGCTAATTCTTCACACTGTAAAAAAAAATATCATGAATATAATACATTTAAATCTCTGTTACATGACAGGTAATAAGTTTATATGATACCTGAAAATATTTGTCAGGATCATCCATTAAAGCTATCAATAGCGCAAGACTTCTCACTACACTAGCTCTAACTGTTGAGTCTTTATCTTCAAGTAACATTTGTTGAAGCATAGACAGCATTAAAGAGTTTCTTATCCCAACTGACATGTATGGAGCTAACACAGAACAGCACTCAACAGCTAACAACCTCTTTTCAGGATACTTATGCTGACTTTGTTCCCAACAAATGGTCAATATTTCTTCCCCTTCCATTGGTTCATCTTCGAGTTTAGCCATAGCAACAAAACCTAATATTAAAAGGAATAAATCAGAAAAAAATTTTATCTAAAATAATTCTATTATTTGTGATAATTTGTTATCAACCGGCTAAAATTAATTGTCTTTCATCTTCTTGCGGCCTTTTCTTTAGATTGAATAGTAGTTGTAACAATTTTTCCCTTTCTGCAGAATCATTATGAAGTCGAATCGCACTTAACACTAATGGTATTACTTCTTCGCGTTTATTTAAGATAACGTTGGGTACGATACGAGGTAATGTTTGTGCTAAAATTTGAACAAGAGTATCGCGTGTAACTCCGTTTTTGAAAATTTCTTCCACTGCAGATATTATAGAATTCGGAATATTTACTAAGCAATGTGATATCACTTCCATTTTAAATTTCAATGGTAAATGTCTGAAAATATTTATTCTCTATAAAATATTTCTATTTAAAAAAAGCATATATACATTTAAAAAAATACAATACCTAGATGGTGGATTTGGAAGGATAGATGATCCTTCAGTGACGTCCACCCTAGGTAATTGAATTCTAGTCCATTCTTTATCTCCAGGATCTGTTTCGCCAAGGCTAACAACAACAGAAACACTATCGTCTTCCTCGGCTTCTTGAGTCACTGTCGATGTATCACGAGCTGGAGTTTCCAGAAGTTCAAACTTATCTGGAGTAGTAGAATTCGAATTTATCGTTTGTATCGTTCCGCTACTACCTTGCTATATAAAGAACATATCACATATTACTATTAAAATCCTAAGAAATAAATTTTTTAAATATTTTCGTACACGAACTTGATTTATACCTTAACTGGATTTTGAGATAAATTTTCGGAAGTGGCAATGAACTGCTGCAAATCCAATCTTTCCTGTTCTAATAATGCAGTCTGTTGTTGAAGTTCTTCCACTTTCTTTACCTATTAATATTATTATTTTTTAACAAATCATACGAAATCATTAGAATCAGAATGTTCTAGATATAAACTACAAACCATTTCTTTGAATTCATCTTTCTCTGTTTCTGTTTCTGGTTCTAGTTCACAGAAATCTGTTTGTACACCAACACTTACAGAAGGTGATCTATCATATCCATTTGCTCTCATATATTCTCTGTAGATTTGCAATAATTCTGCTGGTTTTGGAATATTCAATCCTACATCGTGCCAATCTTCAAAATCCTGATTTTCATTTTCATCACTAAATGTAATTGATGTTAATTTATATGAACTTGTTAACAGGTACTCATTAACAAGAAAATTTATAGCTCTTTGTTCATGGGGTTTTATGGGAGTTCCATTAATTATGTGCTTATCAGAGCATTTGTCAGGTGTGGTTCCTTCTGATTCTAAAATGTTCAAATAAATATCAGTTTACATGTTATAATTGATGTCACTAAACTGCAATAGTCAAACTACAAAGAACCTGTTACTACTGTGAGGTTTGCACGAAGAGCAGAAATGCTTTCTCTGGCCTTTCGTAATTCAAATTCTAAAATTGCCACTCTTTCATCGACACCTGCACCATCTTCCGAGTACCTTGTCATATCGAGTGAGTCTAAAGTAGCTTGACTAGAAGATCTAGCTAATTATACAATAAAATAAATAAAAACTTATAATATAAATGCAGTAACAAGAATTTATTATAACGTTAAATTTTTGCTCTTAGTTCTCATTCACTTTTTGTTCATTTTGATTATTCGAATTTTGTTCTTATATGAAAAGCAAATAATAACATATATATTATACATACGCATAGGACTATACGGTTCTGGCTTAATGCTTTGATTCTCAAAATGATTAGGATTCGAAAAGAACTCTTTTAAAATGGGCAATTCTTTTCCAGCTTCGCATAGTTCTGCGTGTAATTCCAAGGCCGTTAATAAAAGTTTTTCATTTAAAAGCTTGGTAGCTATTTCCTCGTAAGATAACGTTGATTTAACAGTCACACATCCTAAAACAATAAATTCAATCCTAAAACAATAAATTCACGAAAAAAGAAATATTATATTACATAGAATAATTTGTTTGCTCTTAACTACCGATGACGTGTATACAATCTGTATGGTACCAATGAATTTTTACTTCTTAAAAGCACACTTTTATTTCAAATTTCGATTTTACGCATTGGATAGACATTATCCGAAAGATAGAAAGTGTCAGTTTTTGTTTTCATAGGATCGATTATTAAAAAACATTTATTACCTTTATTGTCCGGAGACAAAGGATCCCTAACCTCCTGTATAACACCAGCCATAGCTTTCACTTTGTTCGAACGTTAACAGAGAATGACATGTCCATCTAGGTTGATGAATAAAATAGTAACCCACTCAAGCGCGTGCCATGCTTTCATTAACTTAATTAAGTATATTAATAGAAATCACTTGACTCTACGTAACACACCACATCACTTACTAAGACAACAAAGCCATGTTACTTTCCGCAATGTCAGTAAACTAGCGCCTTTGAACTGGCGAATGAGTTTTTGAAAAAAAATCGTGCAATAACGTGCGCTACTGTTTGTAAATCAGATTGAAACGAACTTGTGTAATTAACATTGCGTTACATTGATTTAATTAAATTATCAATCATTGATTTAATTAAATTATCAATCATTGATTTAATTAAAGGATCAAGATAATGCATAACGCCTATTACTAAACTCGGTCTTTTTGCAAAAAAATTTCCATTGTCTCCAGTATCGTAAAACTTCAAATGCCGCGAAAATAATTGAATAATTCACAAGGGATCTAACTTCATGGTGCATTGAAAAGGTATAAATTTTCCAACATACACATGTACTTCAAAAACATAGTTCTTTATCTTTCTCAGTACAAGTTTGAAGCAATTTGAATATCAATGATTTCTTAGAAAAATTACAAATAAAACATAATTATAAGGAAATAAATGTGTATAAAATCAATACTTAAGCAGAACAAGTATTACAGATACAAGTAGTTTTGCATTATGTTACACTTAAAAGTCTAAACAATCCTGTGGCTTGTTGCACATGGAACAAAATCTAACAAAGAATAGGGTCTGAAGTGTACCGAACTACGATTTAATTTATTACAAAGTCACATTTATTAGTCTCAGCTCAGCTATCTCAGCGTCATCAACGCTAATACGAACCTTGTTCTATATACAATCTACCTTCTTCGCGTCTTTTTTCAAATAATAATTTTTAATAAGTAATAATAATAATAATGATAATAATAACATGTCTCAAATTTTTTTCGAAATACTTTTAAAATTTTTTTTTTTTTTGCTTTCGCCTCGTTGATATTTTTATAAGTGTGCTGAAAAATCGGTATAAATGTAACTACTACAGGAGTAATATTTTACCGTAATAATCATCGTAGCTTAGAAAAAACTCGGAAGGACTGTAACACCGTTTTATGTTATCCTATATTACTATTGCAACATTATTAAAGTTGGTTCGTTTAAATATATGGTCATTAAAAACCATTTAGAAACAAGATTGGCCGAACAATCCATTCTAAATAACTAATACGAAATTATTAACATTTTATTCCTACAATTCGTTCAAGCACCATTGGCTGTTTAGTATGTGAGCGATTGAACAAATTGGATTTGATTACGTCTATATTATTACTTCGTTCTTGATTTACTATCATTGATAGACACTACTTTGTAAATGTCGATAATGATCGACACTAGCATGCTAATATTAATTCTTACAACTAGATCACTACCGTCGATATCATCAACGATGAGTTTTTTTTTTTTCGTTAATCTCGCCGTGTTTCTTGGTGTTATTAGCTACGACACTTGATTCGTACTGATATCTTATTCTCTTAGATTTCTATTTATTTTCTATCATCACGTCATATAATTAACAACTAGTTTTAATTCGAACAATGAGTTTTTTCGTTATATACCAATATATTCAATTGTCTCAGCAACCAACGGTAGAGTCAAAAACAGCATAAAATTTATATAAAGTATTACAGATCTTCCAGAATTTTTCTAAGTTTTAATTATTTTATTATATTTTTTCTAACCAGCAACCGCCGTCTCCAGACTCCACTTAGGCTGGAATCAAGAGACACAAGGCGGTTAGTACTTTTTTTTTTTTTTTCTTTTTTGATTGGTATCAATCTAAATCTAGTATTTGGACGAAGTGCGAGGATGGGTCGTGCGTGCTTTTGCTTTCTAAATCGAGCGTGCGAATCTCATAAAATCGTTTTACTTCATTTAGCCACAGATAGCTTACTTTCGTATTTTCTTTGCCAGTTAATAATTTATCTTCGTTAATTCATTTGATACATGTGTACTAGTTTTGAAAAGAAAGAAGAAAAAGAAATAAAAACGAATGTGTAATTATGTATACGTGTATGTCGTGTCTGTGTCATGTGTGTACATGTGAAGGATGACTGGAATTTGTAGAGCAGCCCTGAGAAAGAGCGATTGACGCGCGTGGAAATAATGCGTAAATAAGTTAAGGCAAAACTGCCAGTGTGAATCTGATCTGTATGAGAATGACCGTTTCATTGAACATGTAAATTTGGGAATTACTTATTTACTTTTTATTCTTTTTTTTTTTACGTTTAACCTCAAGTCTTAAGAGCCGTGTGACGCGAATCTGCACACCCGTGCCTCGAATTTGTATACAAATGACAACCTTCAACACTAAATATCGATACTTCTGTAAAGAAATAGAAATCGATCAATGACAAATTACAGTTCTAGTGAAATGCATTATAATTATGCCAAATTAATTATTATACCAAACATAAACTTACCGTCAGGCAATTCGTATAGTTTTCTAGGAAGAGAGGCAAAATAAGGATGCCTTAACGCTTCTTCAGCTCCTATCCGTTGATCAGGATTTAACTGTAGAAGTGACGATGCCATACTATCACCTTCAGCAATATCATAGAGTCTAGGAAATGAAAGACCCAATTTTCGTGGAGGATAGAATCCCAGTCTATGTGGTTTATATCCTGGCAGGTGCGTGACACCAGGCCAAGTTTCTTCAGTAGGAGTACCCAATACTTTGAATATTTTATCAAGTTGGTCGTATGTACAGCGTACACCTGGGAATGTTGGTTCACCAGTCAACATCTCCATAAATATGCAACCTACTCCCCACATGTCAAGCGAGGTAGAATACTCTGTGGATCCCAAAAGAACATCAGGTGGCCTGTACCATAATGTCACAACTTCGTGTGAATATGTGTGTGACGGTACAGATTTAGCTCTCGCTAAACCAAAGTCTGCTAGTTTGAGTTCCCCTATTTCACTGATTAACAAGTTTTGTGGTTTCACATCTCTATGTAATACTCTCCTAAATTAATGTATGATAAATTAATTATCAATGTTAAACTGGAATATCTTAAATCGATGTATGTGCTTTTACCTGCGGTGACAGTATGCCAGTCCTCTTAATAATTGAAATAAAAACAGTTTAACATTTCGTGGATCCAAACCACCATTACCACTTCCATACCTCTCCATGTATTGCGATAGATCAGTATGAACATATTCAAAAACAAAAGTAAGAGTCTCGCGCGTATGAATTATATCGTGTAAAGTAACGATATTGCTATGCTTCAATTCTTTAAGAAGGCTTGCCTCGCGAATGGCAGTAAATGGAGCACCTTCTTCCTCTTGTAGTCTAATTTCTTTAAGTGCCACCATTTGATTTGTAAGATGACTATAGCCTTTGAACACTGTGGCATAAGATCCTTCGCCTAATTGTTCCAATTTTATATAAGCTTCAGATTTACCAAAAGGAGAATCTCCCTGCAAGCACATGCATACACACTTGTTAACATGAGAATGTTGAAAAAAAAAGAAATAAATAGAGAAAAAATAAATAAATAGGAATGTAGCATTACCCCAAATGCTGAAAATCTTTTGGTTCTTCTAGGAGGTGGATCTGGCCCAAGGAAGACCTCTGACTTGGGTCGCGGTGGACGCCGAGGTCTTAAGATTACTCTAGCTTCTTCACGTATATCCTCGTCAAGAAGCTTGGAATCACTAGAAACGGAAAGCTGCCGATGCACTCTCTCATGGTCGCCCACACCTGTCCATTCTATGACATCCAATTTCGTCCTTAAAACTTTCTTTAAAATAACAGCAATAGGAATCCACGTAGAATCATAATTCCTCAATATTTTATCAATACATAAAAATTTTAGTTTATGTGCAATACATTTAATGAATAATACAACCTAATACTAGGTCAATTAAATTATACCACCAATTTTTACTAATTACTAAAGTAATAAATATTTACCATAGGTATCAAATACTGATATAAACAATAGTTATTCATGTAATATCTTGAAAAAAAAAGAAGTATACTCTATGATTATACTTATGTTTATGAAAATATACTAATTTGTTTGATAAATGTACACTTACCATAACGGCGATCCTTATCCGCAGGTATATTGCCGTTTGGTTCTAAACGGTCTAGGAACTCCTCAGAATAGCCATTATATGGCAGTTGACCCCTGTTTGCAGCATCATCAGCCTCTTCTTTTGATATTGCTAAAATGAAAAAAAAAAAACAATAATACTGAAAACAATCTTCTTACCAATTTATAAAATCTTTCTTTAAAATAAAATTTGACATAAAATACACGTAATAAACAATATTATTTCACACATAAAACTAGTATTATTAATAATGAAATTAAGTTTGTGAAACCATTGAACAGTTTAAAAGGACATTAATCCTTTTATGACATATATTTATATAATGGAAAAGTACTCCATTAAGTAACAAGCATTAAACTATTTTTGCCCTTTCATTTTACAAGACACTTCACATAATTTATTGCTTTTACATAATATTAGGTAATTTTAATTACACTTACAAAGTCTTCCAAAGCTGTGGCTAAGCCTTTTTTTCAGTTTTTGTACTCTGCTAAGAGCACCTCCCTTCTTCTCCCGCATTGTCACAGACCCTGTGCATAATAAGCGCAATCTTTAGCAACTGTAAATCAAAACAAATATATATATCAACTCAGATATTGGCATATTGTAATATATGACCAAGAAACTCAGAATAATTCAAACACACTATGAACTATTACATGTGTGATGACATCATGCAGTGTGCAATGCCAGTGTTCCTCAATCTTATGATTAATAGTAGCACGGATGTGTAAGACATATTTGTCTAATAAAGTGCAATATATATATAACAATATTATCAATACTTCTTTCAGAAAGAAGAAAAACTCTATCTTGTTTATATAGATAATGATATTTTTTTCTTTTGTTAAATAAAGTGAAGATTACACCATGTAACAGTACGTTTGTTTAAATAATGACATAGTAGAGCAGTTCATAATCGCTTGCACAAATGCAAATGACATTCCTTCTTAATTTACATACCATATAAACATGTATGCTCAATTAGAAAAGATAATAGTGCCAGTTGTTCAACTGCATTGACAAAGTTATTCTATTGAAGAAAATTCTTATCTAATTAAATTCAAAAAAACAATATATAACGCGACAATTGTAGATTACGGTATTGAAACAATGATACGTTAATACATAACAACACGTGAGCGTTTGAAATTGAATAAACATTTCTTCGAACTATCGAAGATCTTTCTTTGAAAAACCTATAATTTATATGATTATAAAGAGCAAGTGTCTTATAACTTTGTAAATGTAAACTCCATCGTTAGGAAGCAACAAATGGAAGTTCGATAAACGTACGTATACATACGTACATGGTTATGTATGGTTATGTGTATCTCACGTATAACGTATATAACGTATAATGTACATACATGTACATACGCACATGTGTTGTTACTACAGGTCAATGAACTAAAGAAAAGTTTTAGTTATAACGTGTGAAATAACGATAGATAAATTACGTTGATAATCTTTAGAGTGGCTACTGACTCCACATCTCGTTTCACGGTGTTCCGCATGCTTCCCCGTACACAAAAGCACTTTTCTCCATTCACGCATCTGTCGCGTTCTACGAGAGTGACGTTTTCGCGGCAACGGAAAGGCACTAACAGTATATGTATATCCGCAGCACTCGAGGTGATGATGCACAGAGTTGATGCAATCTCACATCTGATAAACTCGTCTACGCGACGGAAGTTCGATAAAAACGTTCGCCAAGAATGTACATGATTCGTTTCTCTCTTCGAAATACATACTGTTCGTCCCCCACCCCTCGTTTGTAAACGACACACTCTCCTTGCCTCTCTCTTTACTGCACTCTCTTTGCCTGTCACTTTGTCTCTCTCTTCGTCGGACTAACGTACACCCCCACAATCGCGCAACTTTTGACACTCTGTCCAACCTACTTGATCGTGTTCTACCGAGTCCACATGTGGCAAGCCAAAGTGACGATTAATCCGCGACGAACGAGGCACGAACGAAGAGGGTATAAAACGGAAAGCGGTTTACATGAGCCGAGTCGAGGACACAGTCTAAGGCTGCGGAAAAATGAAAATGTGGAGGCGGGGTGGGGGTGAGGGTGGGGGAGACAACCAGGGGAATTAGTTCTGTGATGGTCGAATCTCGCGGGCGTCAACTTACCCTCTTTGCTCTTGGAGGCGGTCGAGCCCTTGTCTTGACAGTACATGATTACTCATTCGCTCGGACGCACGAAACACATCACATATGGGCGGTGACGCACTGTGTGTGTGTATACGTGAGAAGCTACGTTTCACGGTGTTCCTCTCGGGCAGGTCAGGTCCGGTGAGCACCTCCTTCACCTTTCCCGTATCTCGTACATCGCTGGCAGCGTACGATATTTCCCTAATGAATAACTGATCGCCATGAAAAACACACCACCCGTCTAACCCGTTCACCGCTTCAAGATCTCGCGCCGTGCGCTCTTGCCGTGTGTGCTACGCTCCGCCGATATTTTATCCCCGGTTAAAACCCGCTGAACGCCTTACACGTTCCTGATCTCCTAAGCGAGATATCCTGAGTAACTTTTGCAACCGGATTTCTCTACCGCGACTTCCTGGCTGTATGGCGGGTGCTCGCGCACGCCACCACTACCTCGAACAGCTCATCCGCGAGAACAAACTTCTCCCACAAAGTTCTCTATTCCCACAGCCCCACTGCCTCGCGCTACAGACAAAAGTCTGAAACTGTCCGTTCTACAATTGGTCAAAGTACAGCGTATAACTAGAACGACAACTCGTCAGAGTTTTCATGCACGGTCGATTGCTGCCATCTCGACGTCGTTATCGTCATCTTTTATTACTAAACGTTACATTTCGTTGCATTTTTTTAGGTTAGGTTTGGTTCATTGCATCGACCTTTTGTATTCTTATCTAGCAAGATGAATAAAGTTATTAATCGCATATTATTAAATAATAGAAATATCAAATACTTCATAAATTTTGAGTTTTCATTTATCATACTCTACGCACAAAATACTTTTAATACGTAATTACATACTTTGTTAGTTCAGTTAAGCTGTTGTGTAATTTATATTTATCGTGCCATTATTTGCGCTATGAAAAGTTACAAGATTGTGATGGCACGTTTCTAAGGCGAACACTACAGGGAGCCATAAAATTGCAACGGTAACACTGTATATTATATAATCATAGGCAAGCATTAGCCGCCTATTCTAATTGTATGTAATTTATATATATATTTTTTTTACTAATACAATTTTTACTTATCAATTCACACGTGCTCAAAACTTAAAATATTTTACAAAAAAATTGGTATGTGAAACTGAAGAGTGAAACAATGATTTTTCCTGAAGGAAAAAAAGAACAAGAGAATTATAATATTAAGAAATTAAAAATTAATCTAGCTCTTAGCTAATCTTAATAAAACAATAGCATTAAAGTTTTTCAAACTTTGGTATATCGCTTGAAATTTATGTTTACGCATTATGTTCATGTAATATGAAAGCTGAAATAAAATGATTTATTCTTTTTTGCAGATACAGTTCCATTTTCATTCGCATCTTTGTAGACAGAATGCATGTTGCGCATGCGTCTGCAATGGTTTGAGGCGTTTCGTGTTAGTGCATACTTTCGCATTGTGAGTCGGCAAAAAGCAAAAGCTCAAAACGGGTTTCAAGACATTTCGATATTTAAGGGTTTTTCGAGTCGCGATCCAACATCGAGCGATGTCAAGCACTGAAAAAAAACCATTTCGCCGGCTGGCCACAGATGTTCAGCCTTACCATTACAATATCGTTTTGTCACCGAATCTGAAAACTTTTGTCTTCGATGGCAAGGAGGATGTGCACATTGACGTAAGCTCGATTAATCTAGTTCAGCCGTTGGAATGTTATTCACATGGCTCTTAGTAGATTTGTAATTTCCACGGTGAAACAAGAAATGTTGACCATATGGCAAACATAACCACAAAATTCATATGCTATATATATATACATATATATGTATATGTGAAACATATTCCAATGTAACCTTGGCAGTACATTTGAAAATGTTTGTCTTATCTTGCTTTATCTATTCTCAAAATTTTAAATGATTACTAAAAGTGGAACATGATAAGATAATCGTACAAAAGATCTGATGTTTTATGCTTAAACATTTTATTAAGTGTTACACTTTAAATTTTATTACTCTTTTATTCATTGGGATTTTTCAATATTTTGCAGGTGAAGACGTCTACAGATACCATCGTTTTAAATTCGTTGGATATTGATATAAAAAGTGTAATTTTCAATGACAATAATGGAAAAGTTATCGCAACAAAGCAGATGAAAGTTTGTTCGCCGGAAGAAACAGCCACTTTGGTATTCGAGGAAGAATTACCACTGGGCAGAAGTGGATACTTGAGCTTAGAATTTGTAGGAGAAATTAATGACAAAATGAAGGGTTTCTATAGAAGCAAATATATTGGGTATTTTAATTTCTATAGAATTACAATAATATGATTATGTACTAAATATTTATTTTATCATAGAAGCTGTAGGTTTATTTTATTGTTTTTTTTACAAGAATTTGACATTTTGTAGACAAAATAAGTACTATGCTGTAACTTATTTATGTCCTACATCAGCTCGTAGATTTTTTCCCTGTTGGGATGAACCATCTTTAAAAGCTACTTTTACTATACAACTTGTGCTTCCTACTGATATGTCACTTGTTGGTTTATCAAATATGGTAAGCAATGATTGACATTTTTAAAGTAACAAAAATTTTCTATCTGTTTACAGGACCAATGGGACTGTTGAACACGCAGCTGTAACTCAATTCGAGCCAACAGATGCTAGACGTTGCTTCCCATGCTGGGATGAACCAGCACACAAAGCCACGTTTGATATTACTCTAAATGTACCGTCAGGTCTTACAGCACTTTCCAATATGGTAAGCAGCGCCTAGCACATGTGGTTTTATTTTATTTTCTCTTGTTTTCTTTTCTAATAAATATCAAACACCACCAAATCAATATCACAATTTTTAAAAATATATATTTCTCTGTTGCAGCCTATCAAAAGTAAGGTAACGAACGAATCGATCGAGACTTTAGTATTCGAGAGAACACCAATCATGTCGACGTATTTAGTAGCAGTGGTGGTTGGTGAATTTGATTACATTGAAGACAAATCAAGCGACGGTGTCCTAGTACGCGTGTACACACCGAAATCGAAGAAGGAACAAGGACAGTTCGCCCTAGAAGTAGCAACAAAAGTACTGCCATATTACAAGACTTATTTTGGAATCGCTTATCCACTTCCGAAAATTGATCTTATCGCGATCGCGGATTTCTCATCCGGAGCTATGGAAAACTGGGGTCTAGTTACGTACCGTGAGACTTGTCTCCTAGTAGATCCACAAAATACATCCGCTGTGCGAAAACAGTGGATCGCTTTAGTCGTAGCGCACGAACTGGCACATCAGTGGTTTGGCAACCTTGTAACCATGGAATGGTGGACGCACTTATGGTTGAACGAAGGGTACGCGTCGTTCGTGGAATTCCTATGCGTTGCTCACTTGTTTCCTGAATACGATATTTGGACGCAATTCGTGACAGATACGTATATCAGAGCACTAGAGCTCGACGCTTTAAAGAATAGTCATCCAATTGAAGTACCAGTCGGTCATCCATCCGAAATCGATGAGATTTTCGACGATATTTCTTACAATAAGGGGGCGTGCGTTATTCGAATGTTACACTCGTACATCGGAGATGACGATTTTCGAAAGGGTATGAATCTCTATTTGAAAAAACACAGCTACGCCAATGCCGAAACAGGAGATCTTTGGGACGCTCTGGAAGAAGCTAGCAATAAGGATGTGCGTAGCGTGATGTCCACGTGGACCGAGCAACAAGGATTCCCTGTTGTCAGAGTTCAACACTGTCAAGAAGGCAGTGATCGAATTCTGTCGCTGTCTCAAGAAAGATTTCTAGCTGACGGTTCCGCGGATACTGGAAACAGTCTGTGGATCATACCAATTAGCATAAGTACGTCGAAGAATCCAGAGGAGTGTGTACTTAAGGCTTTGCTCGACGAGAAGACGAAAGAATTTCGAGTGAAAGACGTTCCCGAGGATCACTGGGTAAAGATCAACCCTGGAACGATCGGCTTCTACAGGACTCACTACAGTCCAGAGGCATTATCTCTCTTGTTACCGGCTGTCAAAGATCATGCATTACCTCCTTTAGATAGATTGGGTCTGCTGGACGATCTGTTCGCTATGGTACAAGCCGGTCATGCCTCCACCGTCGAGGTACTTCAACTTATGCAAGCGTTTCAACACGAAGACAATTTCACCGTATGGTCTAGTATAGTCAATAGCCTAGGAAAAATCGGAGTTCTCGTTTCTCACTTGGATTTCGAGGACTCGTTCAAAGCGTTCGGACGTAACTTGATGCGTGACGTCACCAACAAACTGAGCTGGGATCCTAAACCAAACGAATGCCATCTGGATACCCTTCTGCGATCCCTTGTTCTAGGTCGTATGGCAGCATTGAACGACGAGGATACTATACAAGAGGCGAAGAAGAGATTCGAATTGCACGTTTCCGGTACTACGCTGCTTGCTGCCGATTTACGCAGTCCTGTTTACCGGGCTGTACTCTCTGTTGGCGATGCCGAAACTTACGAAACCATGTTGAGGCTTTATCGAGAGGCGGACTTGCACGAGGAAAAAGACAGAATATTGAGAGCTCTGGGCGCGATTAAGGACGAAACCTTGTTGGCGAAGGTCTTGGATTTCGCTATGAGCGACGAAGTGAGAGCTCAGGACACGGTGTTTGCCATCATGTCGGTGGCAATGACTTACAAAGGCCGCGTGATGGCTTGGGACTTTTTCAAGGAAAATTGGAAAACGTTGCTCGACCGTTACGGCGGCGGTTTCTTAATTTCGAGACTGGTGAAGTTCACCACGGAGAATTTCGTCACCGAAGAACGGGCCAAAGACGTCGAGGAGTTTTTCAAGAACCATCCAACACCGGGGACCGAAAGAACGGTGCAACAGAGCGTCGAGTCCATCAGATTGAACGCAGCATGGCTCGCCAGAGACAAAGACTCTATCAAGGAATACCTGGTCACTCACGTTTAGTAGTCATCACGAGTCACTTCTCGTCTCGAGTTCTTGTCCCTATGTTGTTACAATTTCTGATACAATAGGAAATCGGAAAGTCATGTCGTTTTGCAGAACAAGAGTTGCTTCGAGTCAGTTTAGAGAAAAAGAAAAGATTACAATGATTCTCATGTAATCATACATGATATCGTAGAATTTGCATTTACAGATACATACACACATACAGATAACAGACACGTATACAACAGTTGCTTGAAGGAACTTCGATCGCGTACATAGTTGTTGTTCCACCGCAAATTTCGTTGCAATACTTTTGAATGAATGTACAGGAGCTACGACAAGCTGATATTACAGATATCGAATATCATCACGTAAGGATGGCATTTCTTCTTTTTAAATTGCTGCATTGTATCATTTGGCATTTACTTGCTCAGTTTCGTGATTTTTTTTTTTTTTTTTTTTTTTTCACGTGC